GGGAGTGTATGTAGTGTGTGTGTGTGAGGGGAGTGTGAATGTATGTGAGGGGAGTGTGGGTGTGTAAGGGAATGTGTAATGTGTGTGGTGTGAGGGGAGTGTGGATGTGAGGGGAGTGTGGGTGTGTGGGTCTGTGTGTGGGGGGAGTGTATGTAGTGTGTGTATATGTGAGGGGAGTGTGGGTGTGTGGGTCTGTGTGTGGGGGGAGTGTATGTAGTGTGTGTATATGTGAGGGGAGTGTGGGTGTGTGGGGGAGTGTGTAATGTGTGTGTGTGTTGTGTGGGGAGTGTGGATGTGAGGGGAGTGTGGGTGTGTGGGTCTGTGTGTGGGGAGAGTGTATGTAGTGTGTGTGAGGGGAGTGTGAATGTATGTGAGGCGAGTGTGTAATGTGTGTGTCTGGGAGGGATGGTGGGGTGCTAGTGGGGGGTGTGTGTGTGTGTATGAGTGTGGTCTTCCCCAACACTGTGAGGTGGGCTGGGAGAAGTACAGGCACAGTAATGAGAAGACATGGCTCTGCATTAGCTCAAGGTGCACCCCCACCCACTCTGGGCCTCAGTCTCCCCATCTCTAGATGTGTGAAGGGGACAGGAGCTGGTGTCCCTGAGCCCCAGAACAGAGGCAGGCTCTGCTGCTTGCTGACCGTGCCAATGCCCTCGTCACACCTGGCAGCAGGAGGCTGGGCCACAAGCCTGGAAATCAGCCGATCTAATGCCAGGGAAGCTGCCAGGCTGAAGCTCACACTCCTGTACCTGCCAAGGAGGTCTGGACTTGCCACTTCCCTCCCACAGAGGAAAGTGTGGGATTCAGGCAGTGGACAAGTTACTCAGGCGCCACACGGAGGGGCTGGTGACCCCTTCTCGGCAGCTCTCAGCTCGCAGCGGGTCGGCCTCAGGGTCATCCCATTTGTGTTGGGCGCCACTGGGAGCCTGGTGGGTTTATCCTGGGTGTGAAGTCTCAGCAGTAGGACTGTCTTGGGCCTCCCCTGTTGCCCCTGAAGCTTGGTTTCCAGGAGGAGTGGGAAGCCAACAAGAGCAGAGGCCTAGGTAACTGAGAGGCAGTCCTAATTCCTTCTTTGTTTCTCTAGGCTGCAATTTCTGTGGTTGCAAATGGGCTACAGTCCCTGCCTGTCCTGCCTTCAGGCTTGCTCTGAAGATTCAAGAAGAGAAAATGATGTGCGTGCACTTAAGCTTATGCAAGGTGGTAATGCTATTGTGTGCTAAAAGAATACTTGTGCACCAAACAAACAAAACAAAACAAAACAAAACAAAACAAACAAACAAAAAAAAAAACACAGGAAAACTGAGATGACCCTGGGCACCAAGGCCAGGGGAGGAAGGCAGACATTTGGGCGAGTGGGGCGTTATAATCCCCTCTGCTCTTTAGCAGGCCAAGGGCTCAGATTTTATTAATAGGAAACAATTTCCCATATGCGACTGACTTTGCCTAGACCTGCAGCCCCTGGCACAGCCTGAGAAGAAAATTATGCTTCCTGGCATATTTTGCTCCCTTATAATTTGCCAAGGTAACTGTTGAGCTGGGAAGCCCACACCCCTCTCAGCCCTGTTCATGGGTTCTGCTGCCTTGCCCTGGAGCAGCTCAGTCCAGCAGAGGGCTTTATCTCCTTACCCAGTCAGGCCTTGCAATTAAAATCAGCAACTGTTACTGAACTGCCTCTTCCCGTGGCCATAATCTGCAATTCAAGCTTCATTTTCTCCCCATACTTTTGGATTTGCCAGTGTGTTTTGGTTAAAAATACTTTGCATTTCTGTAAGCGGTTTTTACAGGAGGCCACCTGGGGTGAGGTCATCACTGGGGGAAATTCCTGGGTGGATTTTTCTGGGGGAGACTCGGGTTGGAAGGAAAGGCCTCAGCTGCTTTGCTACAGTGTCCCCAATGCCGCCTCTCTAGGCCCCGCTTGCATTGTTCCCTTTTGGGACAACTCGGATCATCTTTGGAAGATGGAAGTGAAATCTGTTTCCTGCAGCCTTTGACCATTCTTCCTACGCCTCTCCATGGCACACAGAGAATGCATCTCACTCCCTGCTTTCATTTTGCAGGACAGGAAACCAAGGTTCAAAGAGATACAGTGAATTCCCCCCTAAGCCATGCAGTCATTAGACTCATATCCACTTTGCCCCTGAGCCCTCACTGATGTCACAAAAATTGGGTCGGAGGCAGGGGAAAGGGAAGGGGGTCCTTGTTTGCACAGAGACAGTGGGGATGGGGGCTCTGTCAGGTCTTGGGAGGCCCTAGAGGCAGTGCCCATGGAACCTACCACTGCCAGTTCTGGCTGACCATGACCATGTGACCAGGGCCCGCCTCTGCTTCCCAGAGCTGGGCTTCTCAACAGGCATGCGCATTCCAGGGGCCTGGGGGACTTGTCCACATCCTCATACCTAAGGACCCCAAACCCCCTTCTGTTGCAGTGGGTGGGGCTGGGGGCTTGTGAATGATGTTCCATGGGTGACTGGCTATTATCTGGCTGAGAAACAAGTCTCTGAACAGAGAACAACTGAAAACTCTGGGACTGATTCTTTCTTGTAGGTCTAAGATGCACAGGTGAATTCATGATGTCTTTTTTTTTTTTTTTTTTGTGAGACAGAGTCTCACTTTGTCGCCCAGGCTGGAGTGCAATGGCGCGGTCTCAGCTCACTGCAACCTCCGCCTCCTGGGTTCAAGCAATTTTCCTGCCTCAGCCTCCTGAGTAGCTGGGACTAGAGACATGTGCCACCACACCCAGCTAATTTTTGTATTTTTAGTAGAGACCGGGTTTCGCCCCATTGGCCAGGCTGGTCTTGAACTCCTGACCTCGTGATCCACCTGCCTCGGCCTCCCGTCATGCACCTGGATGAATTCATGATTTCTACACTGTTGTATAGTTTTTTTTGTTGTTGTTGTTTTGTTTTGTTTTAATTAAAGTTAGAGCCAGGTGTGGTGGCTCATGCCTGTAATCCCAGCACTTTGGGAGGCCGAGGCAGGTGGATCATTTGAGGTCAGGAGTTCGAGACCAGCCTGGCCAACGTGGTGAAACCCTGTCTCTATTAAAAATACAAAAAAGTAGCCAGACATGCTGGCACATGCCTGTAGTCCCAGCTACTCGGGAGGCTGAGTCAGGAGAATCACTTGAACCTGGGAGGCAGAGGTTGCAGTGAGCCGAGATTCCGCTACTGCACTCCGGCCTGGGTGACAGGGCGAGGCTCTGTCTCAAAAACAAAACAAAACAAAACAAATTGAAGTTGGAAATGGGGAACCTGATCAAAGGGGCTGGGAAAGGATGCCTGGCCTCTCTTGGAGCCACTTCTAGGATGGATGACTCCACTTGGGACCCTCCCGAGAGCCTGGGGTAAAATGCAGGAGGCTCCTGCAGCAGGATAGGAGATGGAAAGCTGCAGCACTGACGGCGCCAGATAAGGTAGGTAGGATGTGGAAAACACAGGGCAGGCCTTCAGTAAACAGCAGCCATCACACCCGGCACCACAGCAGCAGACAACCACGGGCAAGCCCCCAGGATGCGTGGGAAGGCAGGTGGTGTCCAGGAGCACCGAGAGAATGCCTTGCTGGCTGCACAGCTCTGACAAACACATCCTCACTCAGCCCAGGGGCCTGGCAGGGTCTTCCTAGGAAGCCTGGGCAGGAACCTGCTGAATGAGGGGCAGTGGCGTCTCTGTACTCACGTTGCACCCAGTTCCCACTCACTGGGCTGAGGAAGTTGGGGTAGAGGCCAAAGGGCTTTTCGATCTTCCTGAGGACCTTGCGGATGTTCCTGACCTGCCGAGAGACAGACACCAAGTAAGCCTTCATGCTTCCGAAGAAGCCAACTGCACCCAGCCGGCTGAGGATGGGAGGCGGCTGGTTCAGATGCACGTAGGAAACCTTACAAGGAGGCAGGAAGGGAGAGCTGCCCAACGGACTGCAGACTCCAACCCGGGGGTGGTGACATGGCCTTGCCCTGGTGCCACGTGCAGGGTGTGGCAGGGCCTGATCCATAAGCCTCTCCACTGACTGCTCTGCCTGGTGCCTGGACAGTCTCACCCCAGAACCACTGCCTGGCCAACTCCTACCCCACCCCACTCTCAACACGTCCTCATTGCTGGCTGCTTTAGGGGTCCTTTTTGAGGGGTTCTTTCGGGGAGGGTTTTTTTTTT